CCAGCGCCCAGCGCCCGCCGCCCGCAGCGCAACTTACCCGGCCGCGGGCGCACACAGGCACCGGCTCATCTCCACTCCGCTCCGCCCTCCGCGCCGCGGCGCCCGGCGTAGCGTCACTTCCGTCGCAGAAAACCGGAAATCGGAAGCTCTTCCCGTTTTCTCTCACGACTACAGAACGCGAGCCCAGTCGCGCATCGGAAATGACGAATACCGGCGGCTCCTTCCGTCGCAGACCGGCCTGGGACGCAGGGGACGCCGGGAAGTGTAGTTCTTGACGGGCCCGCGGTGGCGCCAGGGCGGAGCCAGGGCGGGGCCCGGAGGGGCTGGGGCTGGGGCCCTGTTGCGGCACGGAGAGGCTGCGGGTGGGCGCCCGCGTCCTCCTCCCACGCGCTGCCCCCACCGTTCCCGCAGGGCTCCGTCGGAAAGTTCCTGTAGCCCCTGGCCGCCGAGCCCCTCTGAGGACCACGTAGGGGCAGCCTCGCAGACACACCTGCTCCCGGGAAGCCTGGGCTCCAGGCCAGCGCGGAGCCGGCCCCTGCGCCCCTGCCAACCCTGGCGTGGAGCGTCCTCCTCACGCCTGTGTCCTGCGAAGACACCCACCGGGCTCAGGGAGTCGTCCAGCTCCCAGGAGCCCTTGAGACCCGTCAGGAGCGCAGGAGGGAGGTGCTCCCCGCTCAGTGACATCTGGGAGTCCTCCTGCCCCACGCCAGCCCGGGAGGCGAGCGGAGGCCCCGGGCTGTGTTCAGAGCCGCTGTGTCAACAAAGGCACCTGTGTGCCCTGGCCCTCCGCACCGGCCGCCCTGCCCCATCCCACCCGACCCCGCGGGGACGCCCCAGCTGACCGTCCCAAGGAGCTGCAGCTGCTGGGCTGTGGGGGGAGAAGGGCTGCGAGTGTGGCAGGTTGGCCAAGACCATCTCCGTGTGTGCCCTGGCGGGCTTCCTGGAGGAGGTGGGCTCAAAGGCCCGGGCTGCGTGGAGCAGCATGCAGCCCCTGGCTGCGCCTGACAGCACCGGGCGCTGCCAGCCCCCGGGGGTGGGGCAGTGACGGAAGGAGCACACCGTGCATGAAGGTTACCCCCAGCTGTAAAGGGGCACCCCCAGTTCACACTGGGGTGCCCTGTAACACTTGGGCTCCCGGGAGGCCTTGACTGCACCCGCCAGGCTGGGTAGCCGCGCAGAGCTCACCCCAACTCCCCGAACCCTTCCTGAGTCTGCCCGAAACCGCCTGCGGGAAGCTGCGTCCGGCCGCCCGCTCAGCCCCCTCCGCAGGAGAGCAGCGGAGCTCATGGGCCCGGGGCCGGCCCTGGCCTGTGCTGCCCGTCTGGAATGGGCAAACCGCAGCCCGCACCCCCGACTCCTGCTGCCGGAGGGGGCACGGCCTGGACCCCGCCAGCCTGCCTCTGGGGCCGCACTACAGTCAGGCACAGCTGAGAGCCCTCATGCCCCCAGAAACCAGCCACGGCTTCCCAAGGGGCCTCTGCAGGTCACCACGTCCACCTGAGCTCCTGTGCAGTGAATGGCCTGACCCGGAAGCGTCCTCCCCAGGGGGCAGGGGCCGCAGGGCGGGTCGAGCAGAGGAGCAGAGGCTGGAGGGCTGGTCAGAACCCCGAGGATGCAGGTGCCCGGGGCTGCGGGGCCACTTCTGGCCTCCAGGCAGGCACACAGGCCCAGGCCCCCGCGTGAGCCCCGAGCCCTGCCCAGCCCTCCTTCTGCACTGGCCTTGTCCCCCGCCCGGGAGCCATGCTCGCCAGGTCCAATGACAGGTGTGCCGGGCCAGAGGCTGCCAGGCCCCCGGGCACCGGCCTCTGTCCCTGGGCAGGGGCCCTGCTGCGTCCAGGTGCTGTCTCTGGTCTTCTGTGCCTGACCCCCAGTGAGCCAGGGGCCAGGGGACGGTGTGGTCGCGAGTCCTTCACGCCAGCCCCCTCCGTACACCCAGGCAAACACCCCCGTGGGGCACCGTGCATGGCCTGGCGGCCCACTGGGGGCCCCTCCCAGCCCCACCTGAGAGCTGACACAGCGTCGCTATGGACTCCTGCCAGGTCCAGCCGGCCCTTCACAGAGGTACGGGGGCCAGGCAGCGGGGGCTGGGTGAGGCGCAGCCTGAGCACCCCTCATGCCCACTGGGGAAGCCCGCTATGCTGATCCCAGGACAGGTGTTGGGCCCCGGCCGGAGGCCCAGGGACACAGCCGGCCACTCGCGGCACGGAGGCCTCGGCCCCCGTCCGTGCCCACCTCCTGGTGGCCAGAGCTGAGGTCCAGCCCACCCCTGACTCCTGGGCCTTGTGTTCAGTGTCGAGGAGCTGTATGTTTAGACCCAGCCAGGTGGGGTCGGTTGGGGGTCCAGTGGCACTGGGCCGCACCCGAAATGCCCCGACAGTGCCGTGGACACTTGTCCTCTGTTCACAAGGCAAGCAGGTACCAGGCCCGATGCCTCAGGCTCCACTCTTGAGGTTCAAACTTTCGCTTTCCTTGACTCCCAGACCAGGTCCTTGGTGCGGGCAGCAACGCTGAGAGCCAGGCTGGGCCAGGAGGTGACTGACCACCAGCGGCAGGCTGCACCCACCTGCCGTGACTGGCCCCTGGGGAGCACAGGGCTCACCGGTGGAGGCCGAGGTAGGGCGCAGACACGCAGGCCTTCTGGGCTGACGTGCCCCCAAACCTGGGCTCTGGAACCCCAGAGCCGAGCCTTGTGTGGCCCCAGCCTCCTGGAGAAGGTGTGGTCAGACCGGTCAGCGTGGCCACTCTCCAGCGAGAGGGGACATGTGGGCAGTGCTGCCCACAGACAGTAGGGCAGGGCCGCCTCAGGGTGTAGATGGGGCCCTGAGAGTGCTCGGCTCTGGCCCCCAGCCGCCTCCGGCCCCCAGCCCGCCTCCAGCGGCAGGGGCGGGGCAGAAGGCGGCGGGGGCGG